GTTGAGAAAATGCGCAAAGAGACTTACATTCCATCTATTGCAGCATTCATGAGCTATCATCAAAAAACAGCTGATATTTTGCAAAGTGACTTCATCGTTTTCAATAGTAGTCGTAGTACTAGTAAGAGTAGTTGAAAAGAAATGGATTCCAAGTCACTGGTAGCACCCGTGAGTGTTAAGAAGAGGTTGAGAGATGTTATGAAAAGCCCATTGCAGGATGCCATCCAAGGAGGTCTGCTGACACACACACACACACACACACACACGTCATCTAATGAACACGCACACAATGGCTTCACCGATCCTCTTGAGTTTGTTGATACATTCATCATGTCAGTGCACATCAGGTTTGATTTGGATTGTTTTGGGTCAAAGCGAAGTCGACACCAATTGGATTACGCTGACTTGTAATTGAATCGGACCTATTTGAATGATCGCAAAGTTAAAACTAAGTTTAATCATGAAGGCGTATTCCTAAGAGAACCGTTACAGTGAAACAAGAATTCTAAAAAGTGCCAAACTCAATGAAATGCAATGACGCAACGCTACCCAACACATCTGACTCTAATTTATGCAGGCCCACCACCCCAACGATACATACTAAACATATTACATCACGTGTGTAACTGAGCACCACTCACGTCTCCCAGGATGGAGTCCAATTCGTCTTTCTGAACCGATGAGCTCTGTTCGTGGCCGTGTGGGTTATGCGCCGCTGTGGCGAGCTGAAAAACAGCGTCGTATTAAGACTGGGGGTGGGCCCTTGAACCCCCTTGCTCAAGGACAAGACTTGGAATGATCATAAAATGGTGCAGGCTAAAAATGAGGGATTTTGTGCCACTCATTTGGGAGAATTTCCCAGTAGGAACACAGCAATTTAATTTGCCCAAAATTGGTGCTTCCAACCCAAAATGGCTGACTTCCCCTTCACTTACAGATATGAGACTTTTTCTATGCCCTGTTAGGATAGACATGCCTTACCAATTTCATGTTCATAAAACAAACTGGTGTTTCATTTGATCAAACTTTCCAGGGGTGCAATTGAGAGCAAAATTATTGCTTTAAACCAAAATGGCCGACTTTGTGTTGAAAACCATGCATGGGTACTTTTCGTACATTCTGTTACATGTACGTACGTTCGACGTGTCCGCCCATTTTAGTGTTGATTTGTGAAGCTGGTGCGTTCCCACTTTCCAGGGGGGCGCTATCGAGTAAGTGAAAGTACAGACCCACCTGTAAACATTTGGTATCGGCCTCCTTTTCTGCAGTGCTGACCAACGCCTTGGAGCACGACAGACAGGTGGATCGCCCGCTAACAAAACACAGAAGGTGGCATTTCAAATTCGTGTCACAGTTGCTTTTTTTCGGGCGTTTGATCATTGTGCCACAAGTTTGAAACAAATGTTTCTAAAATGAAGGGCATTAGATTTTTGATTGACAGTGTCATTTTGTGGTTTTATTTGATTTGATTTTTGAGGGACGACGTGACTGTATCCATGCATCCGTACTCTTTCATGAAATATAGTGGTACCGCTACTTACGAAATTAATTGGTTCTGGAAGACATTTCTTAACTCGAAAATTTTGTAAGTAGAGACACGTTTTCCATGTAAATGGCCTAATCCGTTCCAAGCCCCCCCCAAATTCAGACATAAATGTTTTCTAAAGCATAAAAATGCATCAAAATATGTCACTAGCACATGTTAAAATGAGATTATTTCACAATAAATGAGAGTTGTGTATTATGTAAAAAACAAAGAATTGAGTAAAAAAGAAAAATGATGGTCATTTAACTTTTAACTGCGTCCTCGTCATTTTTTGCCCTCTTTAGTTCATGTTCTCTCTCAGAAGAGGTTTTTGCCTGGTGTTTTGTAAAGAACTGATCCAAGGACGTTTGCTTTTGTCGCCTTTTAACAATCCTTTGAAAATATCCAAGGCAAACGTGAGCATAGTGAGCTATCGCCCAACTGGTGAACCCTTTTTCTGGGTGATTCACATTTACGTAAAATTATCGGAACACCTCATGGCCCGAGGGGCGAATGACGATGACGATAATCTATCTACACACATAAACACATTCTTAGCCAATGGGATGCCAGGATGATGCTCGGTAATAGCCAATGGCAGAGCAGCTCTAAGTATGTTGTGTTCAGGAAACTCGAAGCTGCGAGTCGCAGCCAATACTGTATTTTTACCTTTCGTATCTTGAAATTTCTTTTGTAACTAGAGACAATAGTTTCCTGTTGAGGCGTTTCGAAACTTGAAAATCTCGTATGAAGAGACGTACGTGAGTCGAGGTACCACTGTATCGATGTTAGGACTTACATGTGGAAGTGGCAGTGGCGGTGGTAACACTTGGAACACTGAAGGCAGCGAGCGAGGTCTCCTCCTCCCAGGTGACAAATACCACACGCGTCTGGGCTCTACATTTGATACATTTCAAACATTTCAGCCGGCAACGATGTGCCGTGTGCACTATAAGGACAGTTGGGGGCGTGTTTACCTCCTTTGCTGAGGCTGTGGTGGAGGACAGCAAGGGGAACAATGACATGTCGACGGTGGAGGTCTTAGAGTTTGTCTGCGGAGGCTGTGGAAGGAGGGCCACACTACTTTTTATTGTTATTGTAATTGGAATACTTTCATACTTTGCGCATATGTAATTCATTAAATCTATTAAGCAGCACGATGAGTTGGTGGTTAGCTACAAGGGTGAAGAAAAAAAAAGACTCAAGAAAGGCAGACTGGCAAAAGAGCAAGAATACTCGGCACTAGTAACTCGTTAATTTGCCAATATTTAGTTCAGTCATGAATTTTTCATTGAATCATCCTATTTATATCTTCTTCATAATGTAATATAACCTTAAATTTCAGGTTGAACCCATAAAAAAACAAAAAAAACAACAAAAAAACACAAGAAGACTTGACAATCTAAAATGTACCCTGATTGTTTTGCTCCAAGTTAGCTCGGATCGGCGCCAACTCGCTATCGAGCGCTGAAGAGGATTCAAGAGGAATCCCAATCATTTTAAGTGCTCACGTGTTAGTGTCATTTACTTACTTGCAAAGCTTGCTGGCTTTTTTGTACCTTGACCTCTCTGCCACCGCATTCCTTACAACGCCAAGATCCACTGCAGATACAAAAGTGTGTTATTATCAGGATTTATCGATTATGCAAACGTATATGGTTACATTAGCCAGTGGTGACGATACATTTGCAGTCCGGACGCGGAAGGGTGAGCCATTTGCTGCTCTGGTGGGAGTCTCACAACATTTACAACGTCTCCAACAACACCACATAAGTCAGTCAATTTGTTGCTTGCTGATTTTTCGATAATAGTCACTGTGGTTCAATTCGCCAGTGGTGGCATTGCACCATTCATTTGCAATTCTGGACGTCGAGATGAAATCTGCTCTAGAGAAAGTTTCAAGATGCTGCAAGTCTCCAATAATACCACAAAAGGTTGCTTAATTTGTTGCTCGTTTTTTTTTGGGTCACTGTGGTTAAATTCGCCAGTGGTGGCATTGTGCTATTCATTTGCAGTCTGGATGCAGAGGAGTGAACATTTAATCCCCTGGAGGGAAAGCCAAATTTCCAAAAGTCTCAAGTCGCACCACAAAAGTCACTAAAATTGTCGCTACTGTTCTTTTGTTGTTGTTTGGTCAAATTAGCCAGTCGCGGCTTTGCGCCATTCATTTCCAGTCTGGACCCAAAGGGGAGAGCATCCCGTTATGAGGTCATCTAAGGGTATTCCAGACTCTTAAATAACACCACAAAAGTCACTAAATATATATATATATATATATTGAGAGAGAGAGAGAGGGCGCACAGTGCTCTGCTGACATAACACCACTGCACACATAGTACACACAAACACATCCAATTGAAGCGCTTGTAGGGATTAAGACGAAAAGCTTGTGGTGGTTCTGCATGCGCGCACCCACACACACAGACACACACACACACAAAACATACACGTTGATGCAAACACACTCACACATTCTTGAGTATGTGGACCGGTGGGACCTGTCCAGAAGCTGCTGTTGTCTCCCTCCTGTGTTGAAAGGTTGCCATGGCAACTTTGGACTTGGGCTCTTTACATTTGTAAAAGTTTCCTGGCAGTTTGATGCACTTTCTGGCAGAACCTGAGGAGAAAACATTAGGCAGAGATATTTTGCACACTTTGATATCTAATAGTGTCGTTTATGGAAAAAAAAAACTTTTTAAGTGCCTTGACACAATTAGAAGTGTTTGCCCACCCATCAAGTTTGAAATTAAACCAAGTGAGTGACAATGTGTGTGTGTGTGTGTGTGTGTGTGTGTGTGTGTGTGTGTGTGAGA